TGCGGGCCTGGCCACGGGAGGCCTGGCGGGCCTCCCCGCTTCCCGGCCCTGGCTGAGTGCGGGCGGGCAGGCTGGGCGGGGCGGACTGGGCGTGTGATCTGAGCTGACCTGGTGTGTGTGTGCATGTGTGTGCGTGTGTCGCTTGACCTCCGCAGTGTGCAGAAGCTGAGCGAGTTCCTGCTGAGCGACGAGATCAGCGGCCACAGCTGGAGAGCCGGGGAGGGCGCGCTGCCGTTTGAGTCGTGCAAGAAGCACACGGGCGTGGTGAGCGCTTGGCCCTGCGGGGGGCAGAGACGGGGTGAGGGGGGCAGACGGGGTGCGGGCATCGGGCGGCAACTGGAAGAAAGCAGAAACGTTGGAGTTTAAATCTCTAGGGAAGAGGATCGCCAGGTGTGTGCATGCACACCCTCACAGACAGACAGACAGACAGACACACACTTGCACAAAGATCATCCAACCACAGGGCTGGGCTGTAGCTCAGTTGGCAAAGCCCTTGCCCAGCAGATACAACATCACGGGTTCCATCTTCAGTACCCCCCCAACACAACAACAACAACAACAAACACAGTTCAAAATCAGAACTCAGGGTATTGGACTTAGGAAGACAGGTGTTCGACCCCCTGAACCATACCTCCAGTCTTTTCTGCATTTGTCCTTTGTCGGGCAGCGTCTTGTGTGTGAGCCCAGAGCTAGCCACAGCGCCTGCCCGCGCCTCCAGTGCCTTTCATCCAGCTGAGATGGCACGTGCACACTACCATACCTGGCCCACTGTTTGAGATGGGGTCTCACGGACATGTCTATCCGGGCAGATCTCAACGCTCAGCCCTCTCAGGCTGTCCACAGGCTGCCGAGAGAGAGAGGTCAGAGGGACGTGTGATTCAAGGAGCAATTATTTTGGGTGCGGGGCTGGACATAGAATCCAGGGTTCCATCCTGCTACGCACGTGCTGAGCTACAAGCCCTGAGCATCTGTGTTTGATACCCAGGTGATGAGAACTTCAAGTTCAGACCGTAGGGATAAGGAAGAAAGCTCAAAGATATCTATACCTTTATCAATATCTCTATCGATACCTATACACACATATCGCATATACACACGAACATGCGTGAGTATAAATGTGTGTATGCATACACATTTGAATGTCGTTTTATATGTGTGTAAATATGTCTGTATATATTATGTGTGTATATAAATGTATGTGTGTATATGTATATGTATGTACGTGCATGTGTGTATATTTTATATATACGTATAGGTGTGCATATTTGTATATACACATACATGTATGTCCATGTCCACATATGTGTGTGTATATATATATGCATTTATATATATATATATATGTTTAGAGAGAGAGAGATTCTATCCTAGCTCATCAAGGATTGGTGTTGAACTCGATCATTACGTAACACACACCTCCTAAGAAGAGACATCATATGACATTAGAATAAAGGGGACTCCATGATGTCAGATCTACAGGGAAAGAAAAGTGAAAGTAAAGTGCTGAAGGAATTCTTTAACAGTAACATCTACATTCTATGTGAAGTTAAAAGATGATGATTTTCCCCCAAAGGAGCCGTGTTATAAATTCCAGTTCACCTTTCATAGGACCATTGGGAAAACCCATACTTTATTTTTTTGTCGGTCATGGGACTTGAACTCAGGGCCTGGGCGCTGTCCCTGAGCTCTTTCACTCAAGGCTGGCGCTCTACCACGTGAGCCACAGCGCCACTTAAGGTTTTCTAGAGGTTCATTGGAGACAAGAGTCTCACGGACATTTCCTGCCCAGGCCGGCTTTGAACCTCGATCCTCAGATCTCAGCCTCCTGAGCAGCTATGATCAAGAGAGTGAGCCATGAGGATCTAGAACTTTCCATGCTGAGATAGAATTCACCCATCTCTCTCAAGACCAAACCCCCCCCCCAATAATTCCTCGCCTTGTGTGTGTGTGACTTTTATCTGGCACATTCCTTCCTTCCCCCAGAAATTCTCCGGGATTTGAGTGAAGTAGTAATGTGCAGGTCAGTAAAACCTTCCTTTTTCCCCCGAATAGCTTCAACCCGTGTTATTTCTTTTCCCATTGGAATGTAGCAACCGAAAACGATCAACAGGAAGCAGCCGGGAAGGTATCACCTGGACAGCTGTGAGTCGCGGCGCCTGCGCTCGGTGGAAACCGAAGATGTTGCCATAAAGGTCATTTCATTTCCTGGATTCCTGTACCAATAGCGGCACAAGTGGGACTGGTTTGGGGCCGGGCATCTGGTGAGGGTGTCCTCCGTCTGTGTCTGATGGCGGCTGTGGTTTGTAGTTAAAAACACGCTGCGGGGTGTATGATTTCTCAGTTCTGCTTCTCTGTGCTTCAGAAATAACCCCGGGCTGTTTCCCTCCGCGTTTGTGTGAGAAGCTACTGTATCCTCTCAAACTCTTGCATGAACGGATTCATAGGCAAACACTGATATTACAGAGCTAAGAACTGAGAATCGTGTGTGTGTGTGTGTGTGTGTGTGTGTGTGTGTGTGTGTGCCAGCCCTAGCAGTTGAACTCAGGGCCTGGGCGCTGTCCCTGAGCTCTTTCACTCAAGGCTGGCGCTCTACCACTTGAGCCACAGCGCCACTTCCAGTTTTCTGGTGGTTTATTGGAGATCAGAGTCTCACGGACATTTCCTGCCCGGGCTGGCTTTGAACCACGATCCTCAGATCTCAGCCTCCTGAGTAGCTGGGATGACAGGCGGGAGCCATCGGTGCTTGGTTTACCATCTACATCTTTTCAAGAGAAATAAATTAGTTAGTGATGGTTTTGGGATTTGGCCTTTGGGCTCTGGCGTTAAGCTGAAGTAGAACAGGCAACCTGTGCTACCTAACACTTATCCAGATCGAGCACTGATGGTAGGGGACAAGGCCCAGGAACACGGGGAGAGCAGGCCTGATCCTCTGTACCCTGGACCATCTGCATGCTGGAGACTCAGCTGTTCAGAAACCTACTTATTGTAGCTACCCAGAGAGAGAGAGAGAGAGAGAGGAGGGAGGGAGGGAGAGAAAGAGAGAAATCGAAGGAGGGAGAGAAAGAAAGGGAGGGAGGGAAAGGCAGGTCAGTCGGGTGTACCTAGTAGAGCGAAGAGGAGAGTTAGGCGTGTCTGCATCTGCCACTGCAGCAAGCTTGCCCTTGCTGGGAGTCAGTGAATGCTCTTGTTGCTTGACCGTTACTTGGAGATGAGACTTTGGAGCAATGGCTCTGCCTCTTTGAGTCATTGTTCATCACCCGAGGTGGCCATAAAACTTCAGTGTAGATGCTTTGAGGGTGGGGGGAAGCGAGGCCAGAGTTTCAAGGAGACACGCTCACGATTCTTCACTTTGGTGTCTGCTGGAGTGCTTTAAACATGTAACCATGAGCCCGGCTCTGCGGCTACCGCCTGTCATCCCAGCGACTCAGGAGGCTCAGATGTTGAGGATCGACGTTCAAAGCCAGCCCTGGCAGGCGGGTCTTTGAGACTCTGATCTCCAACGAGCCACCAGAAAACCAGAAGCGGCGCTGTGGCTCAAGTGGTAGAGCGCCAGCCTTGAGCAAAGGAGCTCAGGGACAGCGCCCAGGCCCTGAGTTCAAGTCCCACAACGGACCAAGACAAACGAATAAAAACCACCACCACCACCATGTTTTAGAAAACAACCAGGGAGACACAGTACAACCTCCCGATTTGGTGCTAGGTCGGGAAAGAAGAAGAGACAGTTTCCACCGAGCATCGAATGCCCACCCATGAGCGGTGGGATTGGTGCTTACCATCAATGATATCACCTAAGTAAGGTCGTGGGCCATCTTAGTTTGTGCAGACATAGCCTACGGCGTGGACGCTAGGACAGAATTATGAAGTGCACAGCTAGTAGACAGTAGACAATCTCCAACAGGAGTCTAAGCACCACAGAGAGAGACAGAGAGAGAGAAAACGTGATTCAGAGCAGCCGCAGTTCAGAGAGGAAGCCATTGATGTCTGTGACCTGTGAAAAGCTTCTAGAAGAGAGACGTTCCTTAGTGACGTTTGGGGATAATATCGCAATGTCAACGCGTGCATGTCTGGGCGAGAGGACTTCACGGGGAACACCAGCAAACAGTCAGGAGACGGCGAGATCGACATGTTTCTGGTACAGAAAGGACAGGGCCGTGGTTTAAGCTGCTGGAGTTAAGTGACAGGTAACAGGTAGGAAGCGTATGGGGGCGGGGGAGACCACTCATGGAGAATGGAGGCCTGGAGTGGTTGGAAGGTCGGCAAGTTTGGAAATGGGCCAGGCTGGATTTGGGAAGGGGATGGACAGGCGTTGGTGGCCAGTGAAGAGCTGCTGTATTTCTGGCAGTGGTGTCAAGTGTTTGGTCATGTGTGTGTGTGTGTGCCAATGCTGGGGCTTGAACTCAGGGCCTGGGTGCTGTCCCTGAGATTCCTTTTTGCTCAAAGCTATAGCAATCTACCACTTGGAGCCAACAGCTCCACTTTGGTAGTTCATGGGAGAGAAGAATCTCACGGACTTTGCTGTCCCGGGGCTGGCTTTGAACTGTGATCCTCAGATCTCAGCCTCCTGAGTAGCTGGGATGACAGGATTGAAGAATCCGGGTAAAGACTGCAGGAGTGTGTGGTTTATGACAGGCCGCTAGCTAATGGGGTGCTCAGAGGCAAATGAGGGGTGACCTGGCTCAGGTGTCCATGGCTTGTGAATCGATCAGATGAATACTTGAGACTTTGGAGCAGGGGATGGGTCCCTGTCTAGCCACGATAAGCCAAGAACTTGGCTCTCTGACACATTCTAGAATAAGATCTCTAGGACCCTGTTGATCGATCATCCTGTCATCCCAGCTACTCAGGAGGCTGAGATCTGAGGATCGAGGTTCAAAGCCAGCCCAGGTAGGAAAAGTCCATGAGACTTTTTTTTTTGTTTTTGCTAGTCCTGGGACTTGAACTCAGGGCCTGGGTGCTGTCCCTGACCTTTGCTCAAGGCTAGAAAGTTCTAGCCACAGTGACACTCCCAGCCTTTTCTGAATAATTTATTGGAGCTGAAAGTCTCATAGACTCTTCTGCCCAGGCTGGCTTTGAACTGTGATCCTCAGATCTCAGCCTCCTGAGTCGCTGGGATGACAGGCGGGAGCCACCGGCGCCCGGCCCTGGTGATGCGTGTTGATATTTAAAGCAGGTATTGCTTCATGTGTCTGTGTTTATTTTCTGCTCACCTGGACTCCTTCCGACATTACCAAACGTGGTGGTAAGTCGACTCCATTCCAGAAACTCATTCATTACGGGCCTCCCTCAGCTGTTAAAAGTCATCTTGATGATTTCTGGTAGATTCTGTTGTTCCTTTGGCCTTGTCTAGCAGGGGAGACAAAGAAGGAAGGTAGGGATTTCTTTGGAAAATGTTTATGATGGTTCCGTCATTTTCCAAGAAGCAATGCTTCCTGGGTAAGGGATCCAGGAGTTCAAAGGACTTTGCTACACCTCTTGCCACCAATCAGAAAACCCCTGCACGTGCGTCATTTGCTGTGTGTCACAGAGGCCATAAAACAGCTGTGATATGGAATTGATCTGGGGCTGGACAGGTGGCTCAGGGGTAGAGTGCTCGCCTCGCAATGCAGGAAGCCCTGGGTTCGATTCCTCAGTGCCACAGACACAGAAAAAGCCAGAAGTGGCGCTGTGGCTCAAGCGGTAGAGCGCTTGCCTTGAGCAAAAGAAGCTCAGAGACAGTTAGAGAGAAAGGAGAGAGAGAGATATCTCATCTTTCACTTTGGCATTCTTATTTTCCAGGTCACCAATGGGTTTTTCTCCTGGGGTAGCAGTATCCCTACATTATCCAACATAGACATTCGAATTCCAACCGGTAAGAGTGGCTTAAATGGTGGGGTTTTTTTGGGGGGGGGAGAGGGAATTGTTAATTATTTTTTTGGTTGGTTCTGGGGCTTGAACTTTGGGCCTGGGCGCTGTCCCTCAGCTCTTCAGCTCAAGGCTAGCGCTCTACCGCTTGAGCCACAGCGCCACTTCTGGCTTTTTGCTGGTGTATTGGAGATAAGCGTCTCATGGATTTTTCTGCCTGGATCAAACTGTGATCCTCAGATCTCAGCCTCCCGAGTCACAAGCCAACCAGCAACCTGGGTTGAAGTGCGTTCTCCTTTGACTTTTCTAGAAACTTCTTTCTCAACTTGTGGTTGCCCTGTTTTGTTTCCGTAGGTCAGCTCACGATGATCGTAGGCCAGGTCGGGTGTGGGAAGTCCTCTCTGCTTCTAGCCATTCTCGGGGAGATGCAGACTTTGGAGGGTAAAGTTCAGTGGAATAAGTGAGTATATTTGCATTTCATTGGTATCACTCTGCTGTGTTTCTGATCATCTTCCAAAGGAAGGAATAAATCAGCACAGACTTCAAAAAAGTGCAGGGAAATCTTAAATGCCGTTTATGAAAATGATCAAACAATTCATGGATGGGCGTTTGTGGTAACATCAACGAAGATGCACAAAGTAAGATGAGATGTGAATGGGTCATAAATATCTTTGAGAAAATGAATGGTATTTCAATAGAGAGTAAACCTATTATTAACCTCTTTTAGCTCCAGAACGAGCAGTATTTGTAAGGCTCAAGTGCAGAATGTTGGTGGATAGACGAGGAAATATGCAGCAATCGATGGGGAAATCCTCACCATGTTTCTCTCCCCACTTGAAGGAAGGAGACACTGGAAGAATCTAGAAGCGTAGGCCAGCGTAGTAGGCTAATTTAATCGGAAGGGGGTGAAATAGGAAATCCTCTCGTGTGATGCTCTTTCTAAATATCAGGGTTGTGGTGTGTGAGTTTTTAAAGTGAACTGTAGTAATGACAACATCATCGTAATAACACATCGAGTCAGAAAGAGGAAGAGGAAGTCATCTGTATTCACCCAGTACACGCCGATCGCGTTCATAAGACATCGGATTAATGTCTAGTGGTCCTCAGATGAGTCGGATCTTACCCCCGCAGGACATCGTTGGCCATGTGGGGAGACATACTTGGTGGTAAAACCAAAGAGCTGGAATGGCCATGCTCTGGTTATTAGAAACCTGAGCAATTACCTCCCAGCATGTACTTTGGCCTCAATCTTGGTTTTGCCCACGCTGGAGAGCCAATTTTATCCCCACTGCCAGTAATTCTATCTGCTGTTTCAGTACACAGGCGTCTCTCAGGATGTGAGCCAAGACTTATTTATAGAGAGAGGTCAATGGCGGCCCATTTTGTTTTATTCTGTTTTACTTTGTGTCGGCCGTGGGGCTTGAACTCAGGGCCTGGGCGCGGTCCCTGAGCTGTTTTTGCTCAAGGCTGGTGCTCTGTCACTTTAAGCCACAGCTCCACCTGCGGTTTTCTAGGGGTTCATTGGAGATGAGAGTTTCACAGACATTCCTGCCCGGGCTGGCTTTGAACCGCGATCCTCACATCTCAGCCTCCCAAGTAGCTGGGATGATAGGCGGGAGCCACTAAGCTCAGCAATCTTTCATATTCTCACCAGCATGACTGCATCAGCACCGGCTCCCGACTGTGCTCTTCATGAGACACAATCAGGAAGCATTTCTAATGCACAGTGACCGTCGCTGGAATTAGAATCGACGGTGACCGTGGATAAGTTGGGGGCATTTAGATTCGCATCTTCAGCCTGGGCTGACGGTCTCCTGTGAGCAGTGGACGTTTTCACCTGCAGGGCCAAGCTATGAACAACACCATCCATTTCCCCTGCTCCTCCTCCTCTCCTCCTTCTCATTCTCAGAGAACACGATTGAAGTCACCTGCTGGCATTTCAATCCTAACGAATACCAGAGAGCGGAGGCCAGGCCCTTCACAGATCTTACATAAAGCCTCCCAGGGCAAAGAGAATATTTTTCTCCTTGGGTGCCAGTTAGATCTACATTAGCAGCATTTAGGAGTCTTGCACTTACATAGACAATATATATTATATCGTGGTATATATTATATGTATTATATATTATACTACATGCTACTATAGGTTATTACATATACAATATGATGGTATAGACTGTTATAAATGGTATGTAAAATGACACATAATTATATATTTATATAATTTATATGTTTACTCTATAAACAGGTCTATATGCAAATATAGCTATATGGATATATACTCCATAAATATTTATTTACTATCTAAACATATATTGAATTTAGTTTATGTCGCCGTGGCTAAATGAAGAACTTTCAGGGGGGGCTGGGGTCGAATGTGAATTCGCAACACCAGAATCAATCAGTGAAACCAACCATTGATCTTCCCGCCAGCAATAACCTCATCACGTAGGAAATAACCGGATGCAGCGAGGGATTTCTGGGGACACTTAGAGCCCCCCAAAGAACCCCACAGATCCACCCAAATGCCTCATGGGACCCTGACGGCGGTGGCTGGATTTATTCCTGGAGTCTGCCTTTCTTCCAGGCTTCGTGGGGGACTTAGAGAGGTGTCTTACAGACACCCCCAAATTACTTCTTCCCAGGGTAGCCAAGTAGCCATTTAAGCAGACACAGGGCAAATCGTGAAGACGAGGAGAGATTGGAAATACAGGGAAAGGAGGCAACCGTCAGGTACTAAAGGTCTGGCTCCGTCTTCTTTGTGAGTCCTGGGAGCCATTAGCACCTGCCTGTTTGCTTATTCGTTCATGCGTATTGTTGATGTGTTCATCTCTTTCCTCATAATGTACACCTTTCCTTCTACATTTATTGCTTCATCATTAATGAATGCTGTTTGCCCATACTTGCAGTGTAAATGAATCTGAGTCTTCTCTTGAAGGAAACAGAAGGTATTATTATTATTGTTATTATTATCATTTTATCTTAACTTGACTTTAATAAGAATAACCCCCTTTTCCTTCATCTTTAACCCCTGATTCGCCAGCCATCTTGTGCATCCCTGTGTATAGTTGCTTATTAAAACGTCTTGGCCAGTTACTCACAAGTCGCCGTGATTCTCCAACCTTGGGCAGTCTGCCAACAGGATTCATTTTCCAAATGAAAGGGCTCATCAGGTCCACTTCATTAACATTAAAATAATAATCTTCTCCACGAGTCGTGTCCGTGAGACTCTGAGCTCCCAGGAACCACCAGCAAACCAGACGTGGCGCTGTGGCTCAAGTGGTAGAGCGCCAGCCTTGAGTGAAAGAGCTCAGGGACAGCGCCCAGGCCCTGAGTTCAAGCCCCACAACTGACCAAGAAAAAAAGAAGCAACCAAAAACTCGTGTGAATCCAAAGGTTGAAGGAGGCGGACAAATCAAAGTTTGGGTTTCACCGCTTCTTTGTGTGTAGACTCCTTCGTGATTTATCTTCAAGGCTACCAGGGAGTGGATGGACATTCTCTTGTCTTCCCCAGAGCCTCTGAATGAGAGAATGTTTCCAGAAGATTCCTGAGCATTTCTAATGTCCCCTTTAACCATCGTCCTCTTGGTTAACGGTCATCCTAGATCACTAACGGACCCCGGAATTCTGACTTTGACACTGACCTGTCCCTTCTCCCCAAACCCCAGGCTCATCATCTTCTTCCTCTCCTACACCCCTACATGTTCCTAATTCTTGCAAATTAAACTCCCAGCTCCCCTCCCCCCCAAGAAAAAGAAGGGGAGGAGGGAGGGGGAAGACGTTATTCTTATGGTTTTGGAATATTAAACGATTTCACTATGATTTCCAAAATGGAGCTCAAATGTATAATTTCCAGGTGGAGTCGGACTCTTCTCAAGATGCCTTTTAAAAAATGTTTATTATTATTATTATTATTGGTGTGTGGGCTAGTTTAAGTCGTCCGTGGTGCTCACAGCTGGTGCTCTACTTCGTGGACCATGCCTCCAGTCCAGCTTTTTGCTGGCTAACTGGAGATGGTGTCCAGTCTCTTATTCTTTATTTTGAAGTATTTCTATGGCTAGGTTACCTATATATGTTTTGCACATTGATCATTTGAAATGTGTTAATGAAGCCACACACGCAGGCTATAAATACAGCATCAATTCAAAGGTTTATGAACAATATTAACAGTTCATTAAAGTAGGTTTTTTATTTAATTTTTGTTTTGTGCTGGCTTTGAACTCAGAGCCTGGGCGCTGTCCCTGAACTTTTTTGCTCGGGGCTGGCGCTCTACCACTTGGGCCACAGCTCCACTTCCAGCTCTTGGGTGGTTCCTTGGAGATCAGAGTCACATAGACTTTCCTGGCCAGCCTGGCTTTGAACCTCCATCCTCAGATCTCAGCTGGGATGACAGGCGGGAGCCACCAGTGCTGGGCTTTAAAGTGCTTCTTAATATAGGGCAAAAGGCCTGGCTTCTCGAGAGAATGAATTATGAGTCGGCTTTTAAATTATTTTAAAGTTTCTTTTCCCATTTTAGAAAAGAAAATTTCAATGAGTGGTTTAAAGCTGGAAGCACTTCGTCAGGATAACAGAATCTGACTTTTCTAGGACATTTTGGTGTAATTCCAACCTCCTTCATTTAGGAAGCCTCAATATTGAATCATTTCTGAATCGAGCTGATGGCTCTTAAACTTTTCTCTTTTCGAAGTTTTCCCACTTCTGTGTCTGAGATACCTCGCCAACCTTTCTTTTTCTTTAGTTGTAGTAAAACACACACACACACAGACCACAGGGCCTTTGCATAACTCCAGTGTTTCCTTTTCCCTTCCCAGCAGGAGCAGGTATTCCGTGGCTTACGCTGCTCAAAAGCCTTGGTTATTAAATGCCACCGTGGAAGAAAACATTACCTTTGGGAGCCCTTTCAACAGACAGAGGTAAATTCCCTCCTCCTCTTTTTTTTTTTTTTTTTTGGTGCCAGTCTTAGGACTTGAACTCAAAGCCTGGGCTGGCTTCGAACCGTGATCCTCAGATCTCAGCCTCCTGAGTCGCTGGGATGACAGGCGTCCATTTAATCCTTGGTTTCCGCCTCAGATTTCCTCCTCTCTCTCTGCACTCTGTTTCCATCCTGCCGAATCAAGGCTTCTGAGTCAGCTTGTGTGTGTGCGTGTGTGAGTGTGCATGGCGTGTGTGCATGTGCGTGTGTGTGTGTGCATATGTATAAGGAGGGAGAGAGAGAAGGGGAGCTTGAGAGAGAAACTGAGGCAGACAAAGAAAGAAAGAGAATGAGACAAAGGAGAGAGAAATGAAGATGGAGAAACAGAGAGAGATAAAGACAGAGGGGAGTTAGAGACACAGACACAAAGACAGACAGACAGACAGACAGACAGACAGAGACAGAGAGAGGAACACACAGGGACAGAGATAATGGTAGAGACAGAAAGAAACAGACAGAAAGATTCAGACAGAGACAGAGGAACACAGGGAGAGAGAAAGAGAGAAACAGAGAGAGATAGACAGACACAGAGAGATAGAGACAGACAGACACAAAGGTAGAAAGAGACAGACAGAAAGAGGAACAGAGACAGAGAGACAAAGAGAGGCAGAGATGGAGAGAGAGAGAAACAGAAAGAAACTATGAGGGAAAGCTGCCATCCCAGCGACTCAGGGAGGCTGAGATCAGAGGATCGAGGTTCAAGGCCAGCCTGGGCAGGAAAACAAATCTGTGAGACTCTGCTCTCCAATGAACCACCTCCCCAAAGCCTGACGTCGTGGGGCTCAAGTGGTAAAGCGCCAGCCTTGAGCACACACACACACACACACACACACACACACACAGGCCCTGAGTTCAAAACCCGGGACCGGTAAAAAAAAACCCACAAAGACCAAAACCCCAGGGAGCCCTAAATACCTCGCCATGTTTGTGTGTGTGTGTGTGTTTGCCCGAAGGTACAAAGCGGTCACCGACGCCTGCTCTCTTCAGCCGGATATCGATCTGTTACCGTTTGGTGATCAGACTGAAATCGGAGAGAGGGTGAGCGAGAGCGAGAATGGCACACAGCAATCGCGCAGACCCCATGAAATGACCTCGTGGTCTGCCTGCGAAGCCCGCGGGCCTCCTGACGGCGGGCGGCTCGGGAAGGGTCCAGCGTAGGGCGGGCACGCTCCTGGAGCCATTATTGAGTGCCTCCTGTATACGAGACTCGACAATGGCCATGGGGAGCTCTGCTGGGAGAGAAGGTTCTAGAGGCTTTGGCTGGGAGCAAATGTGCAGCTTCTTGGGAACCTCTGTTTCCTTCTGGCCAAAATGTTATTTGGCTTTTTTTTTTATTTTGTTCAACTCGGGTCGATGTGTTTCATGTGGATTCCATGTGATTCTGGCCTGGTAATGAATGAATCAATCAATCCATTAATTCATTTGTTGGTTCTGGGACTTGAACTCAGGGCCCAGGCGCTGTCCCTGAGCTCTTTCGCTCCAGGCTGGGTGCTCTACCGCTTGAACCACAGCGCCATTTCTGGTTTTCTGGTAGTTCCTTGGCGATCAGAGTCTCATGGATTTTCCTGCCCAGGCTGGCTTCGAACTGGTGATCCTTCAGATCTCAGCCTCCCGGGTAGCTGGGATGACAGGCGGGGGCCCCTGAGAATGAATGATTACCAGTCAAAACTAGTGCTAGAAGCCAAGCATTGATCGCTCGATCAGTTCTCTTCCAACTGTTGCCATCGTTTAATCGATCAACGCCGAATCGTGGGAGCGTTCTTTCGTTGAGGTCTTTGTAGATCCTTCACGGATGGGGAGCAACGTGGAGGGGGTCTTCTCGACGTTTCTCTCCCAGGGAATCAACCTGAGCGGGGGCCAAAGGCAGCGGATCTGCGTGGCCAGAGCTCTCTATCAAAACACCAACATCGTGTTCTTGGTGAGACGGTTGGCTTCCCCGCTGTGCGTTTCCTTGGGTGTCTCTGTTGCGTTCATCCGGGGCTCTTGGAGGAGTGGAATAGTATACAGGAGGGAACAAGGACTGGGTGGTTTTGCGCTGACCGCAGGATGACCCGTTCTCGGCCCTGGACATCCACCTGAGCGACCACCTGATGCAGGAAGGGATCCTGAAGTTTCTCCAAGATGACAAGCGGACTCTGGTGCTGGTGACACACAAGCTGCAGTATCTGACGCACGCGGACTGGGTGAGGCTCGGCCTGCGTGGTCCTGGGGGGGGTGGCAGGTGCCTACTACTCTGGGCATGACCTTCCCGATGACCTTCGCCCCCCCCCCCCCCGCAGATCATCGCCATGAAGGACGGCAGCGTGCTGCGGGAGGGGACGCTGAAGGACATCCAGACCAAAGACGTGGAGCTGTACGAGCACTGGAAGACGCTCATGAACCGCCAGGACCAGGAGCTGGAGAAGGTGGGCGCGTGGCTCGGGGGGCGAGGCCCCGGGTTCGAGTCCTCCGCACCCCACAGGCAGAGAAAAGCAGGGAGGGGCGCCGTGGTTCAGGCGGTAGAGCGCCAGCCTTGAGTGAAAGAGCTCAGGGGCGGCGTGTGTGATCTGTGATGGCGTCTGATCCTGGGTGCTGCAGACACGCGTGTGTGCACAAGCGTTGTCCATAAACCACGATCGGGCCTGAGCTCGGCCATAATTGCCTCAAGTCTGCAGCTTGAAGGGGGTAAGGATGTGATGCACACGCACGTGCTCAGCAGCAGGATTTGGTCTCAGCTAGTTTTGACCTTTCTCTCCTTCCTCCTTCCCTCCTCCTCCTCTCTCTCTCCTCCTCTCTCCTTTCTCCTTCCCTCCTTTTCTCTCTCCTCCCTCCCTCTTTCCCTCTCCCTCTCTTTCTCCTCTCCCTCCCCTCATTTTTCCCTCCCTCCCTCTCTCCCTCTCCTTCTCTCTCCCTCTTTCTTCTCTCCCTTCCCCTCTCTTCTCTCCCCCTCTCTCTCTCCTTCCTTTCTCTCCTTTCTCCTTCCCTCCTTTTCTCTCTCCTCCCTCCCTCTCTCTTCTCTCCCTCTTTCTCCTCTCCTTCCCTCCCTTCCTTCCACCCTCCCTCCAACTCTCCCTCTTCTTCTCTCCCTCCCTCCCTCTCTCCCTCTCTCTTCTCTCCCTCTCTCTCTCCTTCCTTTCTCTCCTTTCTCCTTCCCTCCTTTTTTCTCTCCTTCTCCCTCTCTCCCTTTCTTCCTCCCTCTCCTTTTCTCTCCCTCCCTCTCTTCTCCGCCCCCTTCCTTCTCCCTGTCTCTCAAGAAAGAGCTAGAAAAGGCGGGCGTTTGGCTCTGAGAGTCTGGCGAGTGCTGTAGAATTCTCGAGATGGTTTCTTTCGCCTTTGAAAGTGTTCCACGTCCAGCTGGAGAGTGTCGAGATTTCCTCCCCGGAGTCTAAACTAATAGTATCATTGCCTGTCATCCATGAACAAGCTACGTTAGCCTGTGTGTGTGTGTGTGTGTGTGTGTGTGTGTGTGTGTGTGTGTGTGTGTGCTGGGATTTGAACTCAGGACCAACATGCTCTTGATTGGCTGGCGCTCGACCCCTTGAACCACCACACCTCCAGTTTGGGCTTGGTTGGTGGTGAACTGGAGGTCAGAGTCTCTTGGGTTTGTCTCCTCGGGCTGGCTGTAGCTCGCGCTGCTCAGAGCTCAGCCTCCTGAGTTGTTTGGATTACAGGCGTGAGCCACCAGACTTGTATTTGACCAACAACCGGCTTCTCTATAATTCTATTAAGCAAATATAATGGAAGAGGATGGCGGGTCCCGGACCCCGGTCCCCTGAGCAACCCCAACCTGGATTAGTAAATATTTGTTGGATAAATGAAACGGTGTTTACTTCATCCTCAACCCAAACCCAAACCTCAACACAACGTCAGACATTGAACCTGCCCGGGGCTTACTGGAGCATTTATACTTCAGAAAGTTGGCTCTAATAAGATTTCTTTCTACCTTTTTTTGGTGTGCTGGTCCTGGGGCTTGAACTCAGGGCCTGGGTGCTGTCCCTGAGCTGCTTTTACTCGAGGCTGGCGCTCTACCACTGGAGCCACAGCGCCACTTCTGGCTTTCTTTTGGTGGATCACTGGAGATCAGAGTCTCACGGACTTTCCTGCCCTGGGCTGGATTCGAACTATGATCCTCAGCTCTCAGCCTCTTGAGTTAGCTGTGATGACTGGCGTGAGCCGCCATACGCATTTTTAAAGGAAGGTATTTACAAACATGGTAGAGGAATCAGACCTCCTGAACGGAGCTAAAAATAGCCATAAAACAAGCATGGATACAAGTCCCCAGGGCGGGCTCTGTCCCCCCTGTGAAATTCCCTCTGGACCTAAGGCACTTCTGGGACTCCAATTCTGGGTCTCCGTACTGAGTGACAGCCCTGAAGGCTGACAGGAAACCATCTATGTAAGCCAGGCGAAGGACGGGCGGCTCCCGCCTGTCATCCCAGCTACTCAGGAGGCTGAGATCTGAGGATCGAGGTTGGAGGCCGAAGGAAAGTGCGTGAGACTCTGATCTCCAAGGAACCCCCCGGAAACCGGAAGTGGCTCCCAGGGGGTCTGTAGAAGGCATCCGTGGGGAGATCAGGTCCTTGCTTGACAGACATCTTTCCACTGCAGGACATGGAGGCTGACCAGACCACGCTGGAGAGGAAATCTCTACGCAGGGCCATGTATTCAAGAGAGGGCAAGGCTCAGATGGAGGACGAGGATGAAGGTAAATCTCTCTCTCTCTTTGTTTGGTCAAGTCCTGGGACTTGAACTCAGGGCCTGGGCGCTGTCCCTGAGCTCTTCAGCTCAAGGCTGGTGCTCTACCACGTGAGCCACAGCGCCACTTCCAGTTTTCTGGTGGTTCATGGGAGATCAGAGTCTCACAGACTTTCCTGTCCAGGCTGGCTTTGAACCGTGATCCTCATAGCTGGGATTACAGGCGTGAGTAGCTTGGCACTGGTCTTCAACTGACATTGTTTTTTTTTTTCCTCTGTTCACCTCCCAAGAGTCTGGGATTACAAGAGGGAGTCACTGTGCTCGGCCTGTGAAGCTTTATACGTGTGTGTGATCATAAGAACTCTATTTCTGGTGTCCCCCCGAAGGCTGACCCCCCCCTCTCTGTGTCTGTAGAGGAAGAAGAGGAGGAGGAGGAGGACGACAACATGTCCACAGTCATGCGATGCAGGACCAAGATGTCCTGGAAGACCTGCTGGCGGTACCTGACTTCCGGGGGCTTCTTTCTCCTCTGCCTCATGATCTTCTCGAAGCTGCTGAAGCATTCTGTGATCGTGGCCATCGACTACTGGCTGGCCACCTGGACGTCCAAATACAGCATCGCCAACACCGGCAAAGCCGACCAGGTACAGGCGGCCCCGCACAGCCCGAAAGATAAAGAGGAGCTGAATGAGACCGGCCACGAGGCGCGATCTCGGCTTAGACAGCGTCGCTCTGGGAGGGGGCGGGGCCACCAACAATTCCCAGGGGAGCAACTGACAGGCCCCCAACTGTCCTGGGGTCCACACGGCAGCTACGGCTCCCGCCTGTCATCCCAGCTGCTCAGGAGGCCGAGATCTGAGGATCGCGGTTCAAGGCCAGCCCGGGCAGGAAAGTCCCTGAGACTCTGATCTCCAAGGAACCACCAGAAAACCAGAAGTGGTGCTGTGGCTCAAGTGGTAGAGCACCAGCCTGGAGTGAAAGAGCTCAGGGACAGCGCCCAGGCCCTGAGTTCAAGCCTTAAACACACACACACACACACACACACACACACACACACACGGAGATCTATCATGTTTAGCTGTTTAGCTCATCAGGAGGAACACTTAAGGAGAATGGGTGGATTTGAACTCAAGGGGGTTGTATTCCCATGTGGGACACACACGTGACTTATGTGCATCAGGTAAGGGTCACACGCGTGTATATGCAGACACGAGAGTACACACATGTATGCACACACGTCCACATAGACATATGTCTATATACATACATCTATACACACATATACACACGCACCCATACATACCTGCACACACATGCACACACATGCATTTACACACATGCACACATGCACACACAGGCATTTACACACGTGCACGCATGCACACACAGGCATTTACACACGTGCACGCATGCACACACAGGCATTTACACACGTGCACGCATGCACACACAGGCATTTACACACATGCACACACAGGCATAAATATACATGTATGTACACATGCATAATACACATATACACATAGACATATGCACACGCATAAACACGCACATATGTACATATTCACACATCCACATATATACATGCATTTGTATGCACGCACACACATGTACACATGCATACACACCCATACACAATATACATGCATGCACACACATATACATACATTCCTGCGTACACATACACACAGGTATGTATAAATGCATGCACACCTACACACCTACACACCACACCTACACACCTATACACGCACACACACACACACACACACACACATCTAGGACTTGTCTGCCTTTGCGCTGACGAGTTTTCTTTAGCTCTGCACCAGTCTGTTCACTGGTGAGTGGCTGAGAAGAATGAACAAAGTTGCCCAGCATGTTACCCCGATCTGAACACACAACTGATTCCTCTTCCATCCCTGGCCGGAGCGCAGAGGGTGAACCGGGGCCTGTGGACTGTGGTGGGGCTCTCACTCTAGATCTCAAACCCTGCCTTTCTGACCTGCTGTGTGCGAATGTGTGTTGGTACTAGGATTTGAACTCAGGGCCTTGAGACACCGTCCCTGAGCTTGGTCGCTAAGGCTGGGGCTTTCCCTCTTAAACCACACCCCCATTTCCAGCTTTTGGGTGGTTCGCTGGAGACGAGAAATCTCCCCCGAGGCGGCCCTGCATGAAACCTCCGATCCTCGGGTCTCAGCTTCCCGAGTCGCCGGGATTGCAGGTGGACGCCTCCGAGCCCGGCCTCCTCTGCAGAGGGGCGGGTGTGGAGGTCTTGGGGGGATGGCCACGTTTCCGTGCTTGCGTTGCAGACCTACTACGTGGCGGGGTTCAGCATCCTGTGTGCCGCCGGCATCGTGCTGTGTCTGGTGACCTCGCTCACCGTGGAGTGGATGGGGCTGACCGCAGCCAAGAACCTGCACCACAATCTGCTCAACAAGATCATCCTCGGGCCCATCAGGTAAACAAGAACCGAGAGAGAACTCTCCGCTTCCTCCCAGCCTCCCTCTGTCAACGTCCCGGCTGGAAACTTCCAGAAGGTCACCAACGGTAGGGGAACACAGCAAACATATCCCAGCGACTCAGGAGGCTGAGATCTGAGGATCGCGGTTCAAGGCCAGCCCAGGGCAGGAAAGTCTGTGAGACTCTGATCTCCCGTGAACCACCAGCAAACCAGAAGTGGAGCTGTGGTTCATATAGTAAAGCACCAGCCATGAACAAAAGGCCAGAAGAGAGTTCAAATCCCCATCACACACACACACACACACACACACACACACACACACAGATGTATTGCACACAGACATAGACCTATTAAATCAAATCCTCTCATACAGCTCACTAGCGATGCTAATCATCTTGGAAACCATCTAGATCTAAACAACTATTATTAATAGTATTAATGTTATTAATATTAATAATAACAATGTCCAGATTGTCCTCAGTCCTCGAGCAAGCTGACAGGCTGGCATCTCGCCTCTGTGACCCAAGCTGTCCAGCTAAGGTTCTGGAATGTTCAGTGAGATAACACAGACGTTTTCCTCCTCCTGCAGGTTTTTTGACACGACCCCCCTGGGCCTCATTCTCAATCGATTTTCAGCCGACACGAATATCATCGATCAGGTGAGGGCTTGGCTTTCGAAGTCTCCAATGGCATGTGCCAGTGTGCGGCTAGGCAGAATCTTCTAGAATCAGCGGGATGATTCTTTTCTTCTTCTGGTCTTCAAGAAGCATGAGTATTTTCTCCATTTCCTGCTCATGTAAATACACGGATTTCCCCCGTCCATGCTCAGGCAGTTATTCTTCCTGTGGCCTGGCATCCCAGCTGCTCAGGAGGCTGAGATCTGAGGATCGTGGTTCAAAGCCAGCCCGGGCAAGAAAGTCCGTGAGACTCTGATCTCCCATGAACCACCAGAAAACCAGAAGTGGCGCTGTGGCTCAAGTGGTAGAGCACCAGCCTTGAGCTGAAGAGCTGAGGGACAGCGCCCAGGCCCCGAGTTCAAGCCCCACCACTGACCAAACCAAAGTCTGTCCTGCAGTGACCCACAGTAAAGTCAAAAAGCAAATCACCGCAAGACGGGGGGTCCTGGAGGAAGGATTGCTTTCAACCCGGCCTTTGCCTTTCTGGCATCGCCGGTGATCTTTACAAACGAAGAGTGAGCCCTCGAGTTAGAAAAAACAAAATGGACAAATGCCTGGCATAGGGGCTGAAGCGGGCTGAGGATGGCGATGGGTTTATAGCCCTGTGCCTGATCAACCTGCTCCCGAACCCTCCCCAGAAACACACCTGCTCCCGAACCCTCCCCAGACACACACCTGCTCCCCAACCCTCCCCAGACACACACCTGCTCCCCAACCCTCCCCAGACACACACCTGCTCCCCAACCCTCCCCAGAGATACACCTGCTCCCCAACCCTCCCCAGACACACACCTGCTCCCCAACCCTCCCCAGACACACACACCTGCTCCCGAACCCTCCCCAGACACACACCTGCTCCCCAACCCTCCCCAGACATACACCTGCTCCCGAACCCTCCCCAGACACACACCTGCTCCCGAACCCGCCACAGACACACACCTGGTGTGAGGAGACGAGGGGATTAAGGTTCCTCCCCAGCCAGCAGCAGAATTGTTAGAAGAACAGAGACGTGATTAGAAAGAAACGGAAGGAAGGAAGGGAGGAGAGAAGGGAGGGAAAAAGAAGGAAGGGAAATGGAAGCAAGGAAGGGAGTAAGGAAGGAAGGAACGAAGGAAGGAAGGAAGGGAAAGGAAGGAAGAAAGAGGAATGAAGGAAGAGAAAGAAAGGAAGGAAAGGGGGAAGGAAGGAAGAGAACAAAAGGAAGGAAGAAGGGAAGGAAGAGAAAGAGAAGGAAGAGAAAGGGAAGGAAGGAGGAAGGAAGAAAGGAAGGGAAAGAAAAGGAAGAAGGCAGGAAGGGAAAGAAGGAAGAAAAGGAAGGAGGAACAAAGGGAAAAAGGAAGAAGGAAGGGAGGAAGGAAGAGAAAGAAAAGGAAGAAGGAAGAGAAAGGAAAGGGAAGGAAAGAAGAGAAAGAAAAGGAAGGTAGAAGGAAAGGAGCGAATAAGAGGAAGGAAGGAAGGAGAGAGGGGGAGGGAGGAAAGGAGGAAGGAAGGAAAGAAGGAAGGAGGGAAGGAAGGAAGGAAGGAGGGAAGGAAGGAAGGAAGGAGGGAAGGAAGGAAGGAAGGAAGGAAGGAAAGAAGGCAGGAGGGAAGGAAGGAAGGAGGGAGGGAAGGAAGGAAGGAAGGAGGTAGGGAGGGAAGGAAGAAGAGAAGGAAGAAGGGAAGGAAGAAGGGAAGGAAGGAGGGAGGGAGCGGAGAGAAAGCCAATGGACGCGGTGAATGCGTGGGTCTGGACGGTCCCGCAGGCCGCCCTCCAGGGCTGGGGACGGATCCTGCGTGGCGTGGGGCGTGGGGGGCGGTGGGGGGGGGCGCGGGCTGACCTCTGGCGTGGTCTTCCAGCACATTCCGCCCACCCTGGAGTCCCTGACGCGCTCCACGCTGCTCTGCCTGTCGGCCATCGGGATGATCTCCTACGCCACGCCCGTGTTCCTCGTGGCGCTGCTGCCGCTCGGCGTGGCCTTCTATTTCATCCAGAAGTACTTCCGCGTGGCCTCCAAGTCAGTCCCGGCCCTGGCCCTGCCCCCGGGGGGTGGTGGCTACAGGGGGTGGCACGGAGCCCGGGCCGGCGTTAGAGATGAGGTCGTCGGCCTGCACAGACTGTCTCTGGGACTTGAACTCAGGGCCCGGGTGCTGTCACTCCAGGCTGGCGCTCTACCACGTGAGCCACAGCGCCACGTCTGGTTTTCTGGTGCTTCATGGGAGATCAGAGTCTCACGGACTTTCCTGCCCAGGCTGGCTCTGAACTGCGATCCTCTAGATCTCAGCCTCCTGAGCAGCTGGGATGACAGGAAGTTCTGTGAGACTCTGATCTCCAGTGAACCAGTGAAAACCAGAAGTGGCGCTGTGGCTCAAGCGGTAGAGCGCCAGCCTGGAGTGAAAGAGCTCAGAGACAGCGCCCGGGCCCTGAGTTCAAGCCCCGGGACTGGCACAAATCAATCCACCGACCAACAAGCCCTTTTTGGGGCGATGTGACATGCCATCTGCTCACACAGCGTGAATTCCGGCCTAGGAAACGCGTGGCGTTCTAGTTGGTCAGGGGGAAATCGGGGACACCCCCTTTGATAAGGACGTCCGGGGAGCAAACTTGGACTACAGGAGTCAGCACGGGGCGGGGCGGAGCTCCGGGGAGTTCGGTGAGGGTCTCTGACCCTGGGGTCACGGGAAGCCTGAGTTTGTTTTTGTTCCCCGCCTGTCACCCTAGGGACCTGCAGGAGCTTGATGACAGCACGCAGCTGCCCCTGCTCTGCCACTTCTCAGAGACGGCCGAGGGGCTCACCACCATCCGAGCCTTCCGGTGAGTGTGCCCGGCTCTGCTGGCACGGGTGCAGGTGTGAACTCCGGAGGTGTGAACGGCGGATCCCGGGGACTACGAAAAGCGGGGTCACCCCCCCACAGCGGGGGTACCGGCGGGCTCGTGCTTCGAATCCTGGCTGCTCAGGAGGCTGAGATCCGGAGGATCGCGGTTCTGAGATCCGGAGGATCGCGGTTCGAAGCCAGCCAAGTCCGTGAGAGGGTTTATCTCCCAAGGAAGCAGCAAAAGAGCCAGATGTGGGGCTGTGGCTCGAGGGGTACAGCGCCACGAAGAAGCTCAGGGCGACAGCGCCCAGGCCCTGAGTTCAAATCCCAGGACTGACAAAATAAAAATGAGCGCATAGATGATCGCATGCACACACGTGTGTGTGTGTGTGTGTGTGCGTGTGTGTGCAACGGTCCTGGGGTTTGAACCCAGAGCCTGTGCGGCATCTCTGAGCTTTTTCTTCTTTTGCTCAAGGCTAATGCTTTACCGCTTGAGCCACACCTCCCCGTCCATGTTTTCCCCGATCTCACTGGAGATCAGAATCCCACCGGACCTTCCTCCTCCCTGCTGGCCTCAAACCTCCATCCTCACGCCTCAGCCTCCCGAGTGGCTGGGATGACAGGCGTGAGCGCCGGCGCCCGGCCGACACGACTCTTCTCGATGGGAGAGGAGCTGGCTTCTCGGGGATGTTTCTAGATGGCGGCTGGTGGTATTTGTGAGCCACGGGGGGCTGCGTTTTATGTGTGACTTTGGCTGTTTGTGTCTCTCTTCTCTCTGAGCTCTTCTGGAAAAAGTGAGCAGCTACTACCTCCTCTCCTTGGTGCTGTTCTTCGCATGTTTTTGAACCACCAGAGGATCGCGGGTCGGTCAGACGCGGGGTCGGTGGCCTGGCTTCTTTCTTTTAAAGAGAGAGAAAAAAAAAAAACCACGTATTTTATTATGTGTTTGCTTTGGTCTGAAAAACAGAAGGTCTTAGAATGTTCTAGAAGATTAGCTTGCCTGCGGATGGAGAGATACGGGCAGCGTGTGTCACAATTTCCATTAGGAAAATATCTTGCCTGCCAAGGAGAGATGCGGGAAGAATGCTCTCTCTCCCTCTCTCCTTCTCTCTCCCTCTCCCTCTCCCCCTCTCTCTCTCTTTCTCTCTCTCTCTCTCTCTCTCTCTCTCTGACTACTGTTGGCTCCCAGCTCTGTTCACACACCCCGCAACACCCCAACAACAAGATCCAGGGGGCCAGGTGAACCCTGGCGGTCTGGTGCTAGCTCCTCATCTCACATCCCATCAAGCCGGCCGGGCCAGCTGGCTCCACCTTTAGTCCCTGCCGTCATTCTCGTCTCCCCCCCCCAGGGCCCAGGAAGCCACATCTGCTTTCTGTAACATCAAAACTCCACCTTGTCCCTTCAGACCCTTTTCCCGGTGCATTCTGGGAGATCCGACTGGTCCTGTTCCCCCGCCTTGCCGGTCCTTCACTTGGTCTAACCACTCAGAGAAGCCGACCAGCCCCGGCTTCTCTGCAGTCCCTGAAGCATTTTGTGCCTGGAGGTCACTGCAGTTTCGATTCTAGGGTGCGCCCTTGTTTTATTTATTTGCCAGTCCTGGGTCTTGAACTCAGGGCCTGGGCGCTGTCCCTGAGCTCTTTCACTCCCGGCTGGCGCTCTACCCCTTGAGCCACGGCGCCACTTCTGGTTTTTCGGTGATTCATGGGAGATCAGAGTCTCACAGACTTTCCTGTCCCGGGCCGGGCCTCGAACCGCGATCCTCTAGATCTCAGCCTCCCGAGGAGTTGGGATTACATGCGGGAGCCACTGAGCCAGTGCCCCGCATGGATTACTTCCGTTCCTTTGTTGGTTGCAGGCATGAGCCGAGGTTTAAGCAGCGCATGTTGGAGCTGACGGACACCAACAACATCGCCTATTTGTTCCTCTCGGCCGCCAACAGATGGCTGGAGGTCAGGACGGTGAGTTTCCTGGCGGGGCTGCAGTGTGAAAGCCAAACCGGGAGCGGAGGTCAGGGGGCCGGGCAGGTGGCTCAGTGGTACAGTGCTCGCCTCACATGCACGAGGCCCCGGGTTCGAGTCCTCAGTCCCACAGACACAGAAAAAGCCAGAGGTGGTGGCGTGGCTCACGTCCTTACTTCTGGCTTTTGTTGTTTGGCTGGTCCCTTGGAGAAAAGAGGCTGTCCCCATTTGTCTGGCCTCAGATCGCAATCCTCAGCCCTCAGCCTCCTGAGTGGCTCGGGTTAGAGTCCTGAGCCACCGGTGTCCCGCTGTGTTCCACAGAACGCTAAGAGGAGGCTGCTGGGTGCTTTTTAACCAGAAAAGAAATCCCCCCCCCCTGCTAGACATTGCAGGAAACCAAAGACAAGCCACGCATTGCTGCGTATTTATAACCAAACCCAAACGCGATTCCTCGCCCAGATCCAGCGCGAGCATCTGCTTCCCGTGCGTCTGTGTGCTTGGAAGTTGCGTTTTGGATTTGCAGCTGTGGCTCAAGTGGTAGAGCACCAGCCTCGAGCAGAGCAAATCTTAAGGCCCTGAGTTCGAGTCCCAGGACTGACACTCACGCAAATAATAATATCAAAATTAGCATAATTTGTCCTAAGGAGAAACATCTTATCACGGTTCATGAGAACATTCCAGCCAGCTCCATTCCAGAACATTCCAGCTCCTCAGGAGGCTGAGGTCTGAGGATCATGGTTTGAGGCCAGCCCAGGCAGGAAAGTCCGTGAGGCTCTGATCTCCCAGGAACCACCAGAAAACCGGACGTGGCGCCGTGGTTCAGGTGGTAGAGCGCCAGCCTTGAGTATAAAGAGCTCAGAGACCAGAAATGACTTTATGTGGTTGGTGGTGGTCCTGGGACTTGAACTCAGGGCCTGGGCGCTGTCCCTCAGCTCTTCAGCTCAAGGCTGGTGCTCTACCACTTGAGCCACAGCACCACTTCTGGCTTTTTCCTGTGATTTATCGGAGATCAGAGTCTCCCAGACTTTCCTGCCTGGGCTGGCTTTGAGCCACGATCCTCAGATCTCAGCCTCCTGAGTAGCCGAGATTACAGGCTACCAGTGCGTGGCTCTCCTATCTGTGTTGAACGGGGGGGAAACAGTCTCATAAGTCACATCAGAAAACACAAAGAAGAATCTAGAAGAATGTTCTCAAATGCTTTGGCTGCTATCAAAGTCCGTTTTCCAGGGCCTCCCGGCTTTTCCTGGCACTGGGGGCCCCCTCTCTCCTCTGGGCTTCGAGCTGTGGTTTTGGTGCAACGTGTCCCCCGCTTTGCAAGGCCGTCCAGCGCGGGGTGCTTGTTTAACCTCTTTCTCCCCTTTATCTCTGCACTACGCCAACTGCCTGCTCTTGGCCTGGGAGCCTGCAGGTTTGCAGAAGCTGTCTCACTCCATCCAAGGCTGTCTGTCTGTCCCAGGCCTTTGTCCTGCTGCGTGGGGAAAGAGGAAAAACAGGCAGCGAGAGGCCAAAAGCAAAAAGGGAAAACGATCCCTTTTCTAAAGACACGTTAACAAGCGAAGCAGCCTTCAGGCTGAGCGTGCTCAGGAATCCATCTGGGGAACTGACCCGGGGCCCCCCAGCTTTCTGTGGGTTCACAGGCTCACGCTAGACCCTCTTACAACTTTGGGGGTGCTCTGTGGTGCTCTCGTGTCTGACGGGAATGGAGAGGCAGAGGTGTTAGGATTTTTTAGCTGTCCCTGGAAGAGAGGAGAATGTTCTAGAAACCTGACACAGGGCTCCCTGGAAACCAAAGTCTTCTCTTGTGTAAAAGAGCACGCTTTGTCTAAAATGAATACAAGTTGGGCTGGGCAGGTGGCTCAGTGGTAGAGCGCTCGCCTAGCATGCGTGAGGCCCTGGGTTCGAATCCTCAGCGCCACAGACACAGAAAGAGCTGGAAGTGGCGCTGTGGCTCAAGACATAGAGCACCAGCCTTAAGCAAAAAGAAGTGCAGGGACAGTGCCCAGGCTCTGAGTTCAAGCCCCAGGACCGGCAAAACAACAACAATAATAATAATAATAAAAGTTAGGCCCACTGCTGGTGGCTCCTGTCTGTTACCCCAGCTACTCAGGAGGCTGAGATCTGAGGATCGCAGTTCAAGGCCAGCCTGGGAAGGAGAGTCCATGAGACTCTGATCGCCAGTGAACCACTCAGAAAACCAGAAGTGGTGCTGTGGCTCAAGTGGTAGAGCACCAGCCTTGAGCTGAAGAGCTCAGGGACAGCGCCCAGACCCTGAGTTCAAGCCTCAGGACTGGCATCTATCTATCTATCTATCTATCTATCTATCTATCTATCTATCTATCTATCTATCTATCTATCTATCATCTATCTATCTATCTATCTATCTATCATCTATCTATCTATCTATCTATCTATCTATCTATCTATCTATCTATCTGGAAGGGAGTATGTACTGCTCTCTAGGATTTATTGCTTCAAGATATTAGTGCAATCATTTTTCTTTTTTTAATTCTATGTAGTGATTCTGTGAATCAACATGGAGTTATAGCTTAGTGCTTGTTTTGATCTTTGATATTTATGATATACATGTGTGTGTGTGTGTGTGTGTCCTGGGTCTTGAACTCAGGGCCTGGGCACTGTCCCTGAGCTCTTTCACTCAAGGCTGGTGCTCTACCCCTTGAACCACAGCTCCACTTCTTGTTTTCTGGTGGTTCCTGGGAGATCAGAGTCTCCTGAACTTTCCTGCCCGGGCTGGCCTCAAACCACGATCCTCAGCTCTCAGCCTCCTGCGTGGCTGGGCTGACAGGCGGGAGCCACCGGTGTCTGGACATGTTTTGAAACGTCCCATCCTGGCTGACTCGGCCATGGCCGCCCCTGGCAAATTATTTAACGCCCCTGAACCCCAGATTGTCTGGTATGGGGTGAGAGCAGGCCTGGGGGGGTCACAGAAGCCGTGTGAGCCAAGTCTGAGGACAGCAGCGTCCACGCTGACCCCCGGCCCCTCGTGTCGGGGGTCCCTCGCCTGACAGCTCGCTGGGGGGGGGTCGAGGACCTGGGGGGGCCGCCTCCCACTCCCTGCGCTGCCCCTCTTGCAGGATTACCTGGGCGCCTGCATTGTCCTCACGGCCTCCCTGGCCTCCATCAGCCGGCCCTTCAACTCCGGCCTCGTGGGCCTGGGGCTCCTCTATGCCCTCACGGTAGGTGATCTGGAACCTTCTGGAACCTTCTGGCTCTTTCCCTCCGTCCACCCCGACTCACAGACGCTGGGGAAGACAGGTGGGATGTGGAGTGGACGAGGCCGGCCGGCGATCGCTGATGTGGGCCCCAGGGTCCCCTTTTGGGACCCCGCAGGCTCGTTGCGGACGCGATCAGCCCAGGGTAGAGGGACCCCGATGTTCACGCACGCCCCTCCCCCGGCCAGGGGATTGTCACACGCAGCTGGGGGCGTGCAAGCGTGAAGCGGCGTGAGCAGTGTGTGCACATGGCCGCCGTGTCCTGGGTGGGGGGGCTTCTCACCTCCGCCGCCCCGCAGCTCTTGTGGACTGCACCCCAACATGGAGCCCCATCCAAGCATGCCCAGTGATCCTGCGAACAGCAGACTCCCAGGGCTAGGCAGGGGAGAGAGAGCGGGGAGGGATGGACAGATGGATGGATGGACAGACACACAGATACAATAAGTGGACAAGTGGATAGATGGGTGGATGGATAGACAGACAGACAGATATAGATAGGTGGACAAGTGGATAGATGGATGGATAGACAGACTGACAGACAGATACAGATAAGTGGACAAATGGATGGATGGATAGATAAATGGATGGATAGATAGGGAGGCAGATACGTTAGATAAATGGAGAGATAGAGATAGAGAATAGATGGATGGATAGATGGAGGATAGATGGATGGACGGATGGACAGATGGATGATGGATAGAGATGCTAGGTAGATAGATGGATAGATGAATAGATAGATAAATGGATGGATGGATGGAGAAAGACAGATAATATGATAGGATGTAGATAGACGGATGATAGACTGATAGATAATATATTGGTGATGTATAGATGGATAGGTGCTAAATAAGTAGGTAGGTAGATGTATAGATAGAAGACAGGTTGATAGATAATGCATAGATGGATGATGGATAGATAGGTGATAAATAAGGGATGGATAGGTAGACAATGGAGGATAGATGGATGGTAAATGAACTCAGGATGGATGATAGATAGATAATGGATGCATAGATGATAGATAAAATAGATGATCGATGATACATAGAAGATGGATGATAGATGGATAGATGATAGGTGTAGATTGATGATAGATACATATAGGTGACAGACAGACAGATAGATAGATAGATAGACAGATAGATAGGTAGGTAGTAGATAGATAGATGGATGGATGGATGGATGGATGGATGGATGGATAGATAGATAGATGGATGGATGGATGGATGGATGGAAGGATGGATAGATAGATGGATGGATGGATAGATGGATGGATGATAGGTGTAGATTGATGATAGATACATATTGGTGACAGACAGACAGACAGACAGACAGACAGACAGATAGACAGATAGATAGATAGATAGTAGATAGGTAGGTAGATAGATAGATAGATAGATGGATGGATGGATGGATGGATGGATAGACAGATAGACATCAGATGATAAATCAGTAATGGATTGGTAGATAACGGGTGGATGGATGGATGGTGGACGGACTCATGACAAATAGACAGACAACAGACGTAAATAAGATGGACGGCCGACTCATAGAAGCCAGACGATGGATGGATGGTAGACCCCTGGACGTGGCAGACATGACAGGCGGATGGCGGATGGACGGATGATGGATCGCATAGGTCTTCCATCAGTCCGCCCAGCGGGGCCGCGTGGCTTTCCCTGTGCGCCACGCTCATGGCTTCCTCCCTCCTCCTCCCTCCCCGCCCAGATCACCAATTACCTGAACTGGGTGGTGAGGAACTTGGCCGACCTGGAGGTGCAGATGGGCGCCGTGAAGAAAGTGAACAGCTTCCTGTCCATGGAGTCAGAGAACTACGAAGGCACCATGGGTACCGTGCCCTCTGTCTGTCTGTCTGTCTGTCTGTCTCTGTCTCTGTCTCTGTGTTAGACAGCATCCTCAATCTACACAGCCCGGGACATCTTCACACTGAGAACCTCTTTCTTCAAGTGCCGGGACTACAGGTGTGCGGCACAACCCTTGGCTCCCTTCTCTTGGCTGTTGTTTTCTTTAAGTAGTTGTCCAGAGGAGCTGCCATTGACCCAAGTAGTTGAGGAATAAGGTGCATTTTGATCCGTGTCCCCCCCCTTTCCACATCCCCACCCATCCCCCCTCCCCACCCCACCTTGCTTTTCCTAATTTTCAAGATATGTATTGAATGTATCTGCTTCCGCCATTTAACCAAGAAGTGTATGTGTACAATGCATCTTGATCCCTGTCAACCCTTCAACATCTTTTTTTGGGGGTTGGTTGTGGGACTTGAACTCAGAGCCTGGGCGCTGTCCCTGAGCTCTTCAGCTCAAGGCTGGTGCTCTACCGCTTGAGCCACAGCGCCA